TGGAAGCAACACGCGCGCTCAGGTCTCGAGCCCTCCGGAAACTGTCAATTACCGACTCAAAGTCCTTAATATGTCAATAAAGTTATTCAAACTGAACTATAACGAATTTTTAACTTAATAATGAAGAAAGTCATTAAATATTTACGTGATAGCTTTTAAAAAATAACTAATAGTTCGTTTTTTCCAGTGTATTTCCTGTTTATTTTTGTATATATTTGTTTATTTATTATCATGGATATGTTCGTTTTATTAGGCTCCAACCGGCACGACCAAGGCACACATGGTGATGCTTTCAAATGAAAGCCCTGCTGTCGTACATAGGCCTTCCATATTAATAAGCCTGTAATATTCTTGTGCGTAACAAGCAGTTTTGGTGGAATTTTGCGCCAAAAAATGCGTATATTTATTTGAGAATAATATAATAAAATGGTTTTGCTCCAGGACTACTAATTAGGACGGCGTCGGTATGTTCGAGGCGGGTAACGCACGAAGCATCCGCTTATGTATAAATGCGTCATGACTCACCATAACCCCCTGGAGAAACGTTAGATCACAGAGACAGGGTTTTTACTTTATTAAAGAAAAAAATAAACGAATAAATAGTTCATTCGTACTTATCGCTTTCTTCGTTGCTAACGTCATCCTTCTTCAACTGCTCGTCCACCTCCACGGAGGCACCTTCGGTCTTCACGCAGTAGGAGCGGAGCGGGGCGGCGCCGGGCGCGGTGCGGGAAGCCGGGCGCTGCGAGGCGGCATGGAGGACCTTTAGCCGAGGGTACGAGGTTCGGGCATCAACCGAGACAGTACCAAAGCAGCAGCGGGTAGAGGTCGGTAACCAGGTCTTCTGTTTATGGACGAGAAGGGGACACTTGAGGGTGGCGTCATATAACTCCTTCAGGACTGTGGAACACCTAAACTGTAACATTTCAATCCTGTCAGGCAATGAGGAAGAAATGTGGGGCTCTAAATATGTCCGGTTGAAAATGTTGGGTCGTCGCAGTCTGCGTTCACTAGCGTTGAGTGTCTGAGAGGCGATGAGTCAGAGACACCGGTGTCCAAAAATAAATAGAAGCTCGCGTTAACACCCCCTGCCGCTCCAATTGGTTGAAATGCTTCCGGGTTTGCCTGCCTTTCTTCTTCTTTGTCTTTTTCAGACAAGTCACATTTGACGCAGCGTGTTCGTATTGCTGCCCTCTGCTGTTCATGATTAAAGTTACATCCAGAAGCCGTTCAGTCAGTGGTTTTATTATCATTTAGTAAAATATTATATCTCTGATGGACTGGCGATCTGTCCACTATGTGCCCCATCTATCGCCCAATAGATGGGTAGGCTGTGCCCGGTAGAAATTCTGCCATTTAAAATATAATTCTATTCGTTGTATGATAATTATGCCTCTGATTCATACTGCCCACATGTTTTAAAAGAGTTAACTTTTTCTGGTAAAACGATCTGGGGGGAAAAATAGATGTCAAATTTGTAAATCATTCGTGTTTGCATCGGTACCAATACTATTACGCATTTTCTGGTGGCCGATGGAGTATTAACCTGGTCACGAACATAACGACGGCCGACTCTACGCAAAGTACGTATCCCTGACAGTCTGAACGCAGGGAATACGCTCCCACCAAACGTCACTGACACAGTTCTGCCACGAATGCACAGCGGCAAGATGTGGAGGTCTAGGAGCTTCACGCTGTGCTTCTTTGTGTGCTCGCAGATTAGTTTGCTGGCTCTTTTGGCCAGAGCTGCGGAGGACAAGGACGAGGTGAAGATCGAAGTCGTGTTCGTGCCAGAGGTCTGCACCCCGAAGAGCAAGAAGGGAGATCTGATCAACGCCCATTATGATGGCTATCTGGCCAAGGATGGCTCCAAGTTCTACTGCAGGTTTGCAGCCTGATGATGTCTGCACCAGGTTTATTCTCATAATGCTGCCCAGCACGTGGGCTGTATCTCCTGATCACCACCAGATAGTCCAACATTTGAATGTTGATTTGTCAATGCCTGCTTTGATTGATTGTAAAGCTCTAGTTGGGACTGATTGGATGCCTGTGTCTGCTCCAGTCGAACAGAGAAGGAGGGCCACCCCCAGTGGCTGGTGGTGGGTGTCGGACAGGTCATCAAGGGCCTTGACATTGGGATGATGGACATGTGTGCTGGAGAGAGGCGGAAAGTTACGATTCCACCGGCCCTGGCGTTTGGTGAAAAAGGCAAAGGTAAAAGAAGGGAAAGGAGGTTTTAGTTGGCTCTAGTTTCTGAAAAGTTATTCAGTTATTCCAATCTGATCAACACCAGAGCTGTCCACACCACTCTTTACTTTGACCTAGTTAAGGAGCAACACCACAAGTTGTTGGCCTCTATAATGTATTTTCCAAAATGACTGTCAGAAAAGGATACGGATGAAAAAAATAAATAAATTGTCACCGTTTTGATGTCTGGAGTCTTCAAACGGCACCAGTACAGACAGCTTTATGGGTCCGGTCTTTCTACCGGGCAAAGGTCATCCACTAAAGGCCAAAATATCCAACACTCAATCCTTAATGTGGGTATGTCTGCAATATTCGGGTCCTACAACATGATAACATAATTCCTCAGTTGAAAACGAGCAGTTTAAAAAAAAAGTAATCAGTATTTTGTTAAAAAGACTCAGTTGTGTGTGGTTAAAAAGTCAAACTTGTGTAATCTCCCTCACATCTCTGAACTGACCGTCACAGACTAGTGACCACTGAATACTTCCTCATTCGCATCTCCGCTCTACCAGCTTTGAGAGTTTTGACAATCTCTTGGACAGCAAAACGGGATCATTCAGTTTGTTGCGCGGAACGTGCATGCGTTGCCACTTCTAACGTTTCTCTGTTCCGTTTTGTGGAACAGCTGCCTTCACACTCTCCTGTCTTCTGTTCCAGCCCTGTAGCTGGACTGGCGGCAGCTCCTCGGCCGTGCATATCTTCTGTAAGCATGCAGAAAGGTTCAAAAGTCTCCACGCACCCCCTTTCTTCCTCCTCCTCCTCCTCCTCCTCCTCCTTGCATGCGCTGGAGAATCCTCTCTAACTGGTGGTGTTCCTTTGGCTGGGTGTCGCATGTCTGACGGCAACATTTAGCTATTTGGTAAGTAAAGGATGAGTGTACCATCGCCCTCGGTTCTGGGTTGGAGTCCCCGGGGGAACCAGGACCTTTCTGCCAGAGGGTTCTGGGTTGGAGTCCCCGGGGGAACCAGGACCAGAGGGTTCTGGGTTGGAGTCCCCGGGGGAACCAGG